AGTAAGTGTGGATGGCAACAAGGTCCTCTGGCCTGCGAAACTTGCGATATTGATCTGAATAAATCAAAGCAAGATTTTTCAGTAGCAGTGCGCTATCAGGATGTGCTTTTGGAGTCATGTTTACTGCTTGCTGCTGCATCTGTAGTGCAGTCCTAAGGTCCTTTATATCTCTCAACATGTGATATCTTAGTTTCAGACATACAGCAAGGCTTTGCAGATGGCCTGCTCTATTACGATGCCCTTCTGAAGTTAGATCCACCACTTCTTTAAACACCTGTACTGCAGCCTCAAGGTCCCTCAGATCCCCAAACCTGCTGTATCTATCTTTGAATGATAAACCAAGACCAGGCAGAAGTCCTTCTCTATCAGGGTGGCCAGTGGGAGTGAGCTCTACTGCTTCTCTGTCTGCATGAAGTGCATCCTCGAGGTCCTTCAGATTTCCCGAAAGCTCATACTTCTCTCTCAATCCTGTAGCAAGAGCTTGAAGACGACCTGCTCTTTCAGGGTGTTCTTTTGGAGTCATATTCACTGCCTCTTGAGCTGCAGACAGTGCAGCCTCAAGATCCTTCACATTTCTCAACTTCCGAAATAGATCTCCACAAGACACAGAAAGACCATGCAAAAATCTGGCTCTATCAGGGTGCCCATGGGGAGTTGAATCCACTACTTCTTGATTAGCATGCGCTGCAGCCTCAAGGTCCTTCAGATCTCCTAACCTCCGATATCGATCAGTGAGTGCTATAGAATGGGTCTGCAGATGGTCTGCTCTGTTGCTGTGCTCTTCTGGAGTGAGCTCCACTGCTTCTTGGGACATTTTCACTGAAGCCTCAACATCATCCAAATTTCCCAACCTGCGATATCTCTGTGTAAATGAAACAGCAAGGTTATTCAAATTGACTGCTCTATCGGGGTGTGCCCTTGGAGTCAGCTCTAATGTCTCTTGCTGTATCTGCAGTGCAGCTTCAAGGTACTCCAGATCTCCAAACCCCCGATAGTATTCTTCAAGAGATGAACCTAGGCTGTGCAGATGCCGTGCTCTATTGGGGTGCCCTGGAGTCAGGTCCACTGCCTCTTGCTTCATTTGGATTGAAGCCTTGAGGTCCTCTTGATGTCCCAACTTCTTATACCGATCTTCAAAAGAGATACCAAGGCTGTACAGAATTCTTGCTCTATCAGGGTGTCCTTTGGGAGTCAGCTTTACTGCCTCTTGATCGATATGCAGTCCTGCCTCAAGGTCCTTCAATTCTCCTGACCTTTGATATTGAGCCCAGAATGATGCAGCAAGACCTCTCAGATGCTTTGCTCTATCTGGGTGGCCTTCAGGTGTTAGGTCCACTGCGACCTGATTGTTCTGCAATGAGGCCTTGAGATCAACTAATTCCTCGGAATCCATATATCTGAGCCTCAATCCATTTCCCAAAGAGTGGTGATATCTTGCAAGATCAGGGTGGCCTATAGGTGTCTGCTCTATAAGCTCCATCATTCTCGGTATCATTTCTGGACTCCCCCAGTCCTAGGTGCGTAGTTCCAGGCTCCACTGAACAATATATTGATGTGCTTACCACTGCAACAAAATTGGGGCTACCTGGGTCCCTAGAGTCACTGGATGACACAGCGGTATTCTACTTCCTATCAGTTTTGTTTATGTATGGTCAATTTTGACATGCTCACTTTGTCTCCAGCATCCCAAGTACCTGAGCCAGATTCAGAAACCAGTACATCATCGGAAGTAACAATGGCACTATCCTGTGTTTGATCAGTAGTAGCTGATATAGAATCGTAAAACAATCTTACAACTTCAATTTTAGACATGCTGATATAAGGATGCACTACAGGAGGGGAAGGAAGGAAGGACGAACACGCGACAGCTGCGGGATTCCCCTCTATATATATGTGTAGGCGCTAAACACATATAGCCCATCACCCCCCTAAGGGCGACTTGTACAATTATAGTTGACTCTATAGATGCATATCAATATACTCCACTATGTCTACCCTCCACTTCGGCCTCTCCGCTTACTTCCTACTGTAATGACACTCATAGTTACACGGCGGCGCTTGCTTCGAACATAGTGGTTAAGGCACATCGTAGATGAGAGTGCAGGCGGGGGCATGCCGATTAACCCCGAACGACATTGGTGAGAAGCCAGGAAGCCGGACGCCGTAAGATATGTATTGACGGTACAGCACTCAGTCCATCTGCCTCTACCCCATCGGTGAACACTGCATCCCGCGTCCATTCGCCGAGTTGTTTCTCCCTGCTTCCGTTCGGCCCATGTTCGCACTCCCGTGTTGCGATACGACACCAATATAGACGAGCCCGTCATAGTCGCGCCCGCTGGTCCATGTGCAGTTTCGTGGGGTTTGTCCGGGGCTGGTGTTATTTACATTCGGCGAAGTGGGATGATGATTATCGGTACGTAACGTGTGGAGTGCCAGGCTTGTGCGGCACTGATCTATTGTAGGGCTAGCTGGTAGGAGGAATCTCTCTCTTTATAAAATTGCCTGTGTCTGCCCAAAGCTTTTTAAGCTTTGCTTATGGTTCATGCCAGGACTGTAAGCACCCAACGGAGCACCTGTCGACAGTCCACGGTATCCGCCGAAACTCATTGACTACGCCACTTCGGAAGCACTCAACGGAGCGCCCAAAAGTCACCTTTCAGCAACCGCCGATATTACGTTTTCATTTCATCCATCCATGTCTTCTGCCTAAGACCGCCGGGCCATCTGTCAAAGAAACTCGGCTTCAAATAATTATCCATGGGGAAAACAGCCCACTATCTCTACGGAATCCCGGTGGATGAATACTAGCCTTCCTCAAATCTTCTGTGGGCTCAAGAGCGATCGGGCAGCGCCATGCCCGACGGGCACCGCTGTTAGAGGCAGCAAATGCCACGTCATCGACGAGATTAGAGGCCTGCGGATCGTATAATGCGAACCTTGACCGGAAACCTCGATGGTGACTAGGGGGGTCGAATGCTAATTACGAGGTGCCGTCGTCGTCTTTTTGCTTTCAATTGGTATAGCTCAACCAGCATTATAGATTACACCTGTCGTTCCCTTTGAGTGCTCAAACTCTCATCCATGCGTGCATTTTGTGGGCGAGATAAAGATTACCAGTGGACGATGCCAAATCTGATAGGTGCGTGCTAGTACGCATCTTGAAAGCCTGAACTCGAACCAGCGTTGTCTCATACGCGTGCTTACACCATGTCGTTCGAATATTAAATCCCACCGTGCACGCAGCGTGCACTTGAAAAATGAATTAAAAAGCGGGTCGACCATGATACGTATATTACATGCCCATAGAAGGAATCGGACCTCTCCGTCCCCGGAAATTCCTACTGCTTTATATCACATCATACTGATCGATGCTTCATGATCTACACGGGCTCTCAAGCAGCTCTCTATAATCCTATTCATCCAACGAATTTCGACTCTCCGCGTATTATCTTGGAATCCGAAGCTTGGTTGACTTTCGCGTTTTCATCAGGTTTCCGTTTCATGGTAATTTTCTGCCGAAATGGGTCGGCGCGAATTGACTGTTAATCCAATTTCATTCAGCTGCATTCCGCTGCCACTCAGTATTCGCTCGTTACCATATTTCGGATTCTGGAATGACGCGAGTGTGCTGAAGTTTGTGCAGGATCAAGTTCCCAAAACATCAGCATGCACAATCAATAATATTACATGCAGTTATACGAAAGAACCAAATCGAAGTGCATAGACAGGAACGCGCCAATTCGAATTTTGGACCCCTGTGTCTTATTTGTGCATGCGATTGATCTTTCAGGCGCGTCTCAAGGTCACGTGAACACTCATTTCCCCCCACCACCGTCACAATTGCTACATCCAACCACGACGACGCCACAAATTCCCGATTTCATCGATGAAACTGTTTTTCTCAATAGATCGGTGTTTGTGATAAGGTTCGCGGTCAGCCAGACGTTTTGAGGAATCCTGGGGGACCCAATCGATTACCGCGAGGCCCTCTCTGATACTTGTCCCATAGCATCGTCCTTGTATCCGCGCGCATGCTGTCCGTCAACCCGCCCAGGTTGCCCGCCTCAGACAGCCTAGCCAACATCACCTGGACCAGCACCTCCTCCGACCCGTGCGTCACCCTCACCTCTCCTGTCCCGGCTGACTCCCCCAACAGCATCTTCTCTGTCGAGCTGACCCACCCCTCGTTCAACGCCGCCCTCACGATTGCGAACAACGTCAACCCTAAAGCCAACAATCTCACGCTCACCATCCCCTCTGCGCTCTCCGGCGCGGGCTACACGCTTCAGTTCGTCAACGCGACGGACATCAACTAGGTGTTCGCCACAGGCGCCACCTTCTCTATCGGCGCCAAGTCGAGCTCAACAGGGACCCCGACCTCGAGCGGGAGCGGGAGCGCTGCGTCGGGCAGCGGCGGTGCGGGCAACGGGTCGGCGTCTTCGGGGAGCGCAGAGGGTGCGGGGTCAGCTACAGGGAGCGCCGGTGCGTCGGGCAGCGTCGGTGCGTCGAGGAGCGGAAGCGCAAGTGGATCGAAGGCGTCTTCGTGAGTGCTCTTCTCGATTTCCTTTCATTCTCCTCATCGTCTCCACTATTAGAACCGGCTCCCCTCGGGGTCTGCGTCGGGCTCCGACGCCTCTGCATCCAGTTCCACCAAGCCCAACGGCGCGGTCCGTGCTTTGTCTTTGTCTGGACCTGCCACCACGGCGGTTACTATCTTGTTTGCGCTCGCCGGTACTGCGGGCATGTTATAAAAAGTTTGCATGATCACACCGACTTCTTTCTATGAGTACGCTGTTGCTCCGCTTTTATCTGGGACTGGGACTTTGTCTATATGTATGTACGTACGTAGATGAACCTCTCGTCAACTGTGAACCTTTGAGTTGCAGTTCAATTTATGCAGGAATAAGAATAAGAATACCCAACCTAACCCATTCCAGAATATAATCGCCTCTCGAGTCTAGTACGACTCGACTTCTGGTTTCACTCTTCAGGATTAAGACCTGGTGGCGAATGGTACGCACTCGCACTCTATGAACGATGGGACAGTATCATCGCGGGCGGTCCTGGTTCGAATCCAGGCTAGGTCGTGTCATTGCTGTCGTCGTCGTTTGTATTTCTTCCCCTTTTAAATCCAAAATGTAATGATGAGAAGATAGGAGAGGGACGCAGATCTAGACGGATTGGAGTTGCGAGTGATTCAGGGAAGCCACTGTGATTTAGCTCCAACTCACTCTCTACTGCGCACCTACCCACTGCAGAACCGCATCTGGGGTTCTAGTTTGACTCTTCGAATTCTGGTTCCACTGTGCAAAAAATACGACCCAGTGGCAGATGGCTCGCACCTGCACCCCATAAACGCTTATGGGGCTATCGTTGCCGCGGGAGTTCCTGGTTCGAATCCAGGCTGGGTCATGGCATTGTCTTTCGCGTAATGCTTTTGTGATCTCTCTGTTGCCAGTTTAAATCAAGTCTTAAATGCAAGTGCCAGCTGGATGAGCATGGGAAGCGAGGTGAATAGGCGGGTTCGCATTCGAGGTAGGTCATGGATGATGCCCTTGCACTAACTCTTATTTATTTTTCGCTCTCTGCCAAATACCTACCATACTGTATTTTTACATTCAATTCGACGGTCACGCGTCACAGGGGTAGTTGTCGAATTGCCCCAGCGTGACATGCCGCGAGGTTCGCCTGGATGTGCTGGTTTTGTGAAATTTCGCGTCGAAATTGTTGAAATTTGCGATTTTGTCATGCCAATTTTGGCCACTGTCGAATTGTCGAATATGTTCCGGGTGTCACGCGTGTCGAATTGAACGAAAAAATACAGTATCTCGAGTTCTAATTCTCCTCTACAGGATTCCAGTGGCCGATGATTCGCACCCGCACCCCATATTTGTTTTATTTGGTTTTCTGTGTTGCCGCGGGAGGTCCTGGTTCGAATTCAGGCTGGGTCATGTCAATTCTGTCGTCGTTTGGTATTTTTTCCCCTGCTGTACGGACTGAGGAAAGATCATTCAAACCCAAGAACGGCGGACCAGCCCACATTACGCAGGAGGGCCAAAATTTCTTGCATGAATCAGAGTATTCGGAGCTACAGAGGAGCCGGTGTGGACCATAGTGGGTCGCCCCATAGCAATGAACCAGGTGAATGGGCATGTAATTATCGGGGAGGTGCGGGTTCGATTCCCCCCGCGGGCGTTCAAGGTGAAGAAAGTGGAGCTTTTTCTAGCGCGTGATGTTTCTGTCTCGGAAGATATCAGTTGTGTGTATATGAATACCAATTATCCTCCCTGTTCGGCTGCTACTGGGTTCAGGGACTACCCCAATATGCCGCTGTCTCTGACTTGTGTTTGTGTATTACCGCGGTGCGGGGTAAGTTGGATCAAATGCTGGTGAGCATTGCATTTGGACGTACCAAAACAGTACACAGCGGACTTGGATAGAAAAGAACGCTCCAACCAGAATTTTGAGCACCTGTGTCTCTATTTGCTCATGTTGTTGATCTTTCAGGCGCGTCTTTATGGTCACGTGGACGCTCCTCTTCTCCCACCACTCTGACCATATCCAAACGCGATGAAGCAAGCAAGTTTTGAGGGTCACAACTCCCTCCCTGAAACGGATTTTAAATCAGGATCGGTATATGCTCCCAGTGACGCAGGCAGCCAGGCACTCTGACTCGGAAGCGCGGCAGAGCAATTCCTGTGCTGTGGGAATCCAATTCACCCCTTGTCGACTCTGCATTCTTGTGGCGTCCGCATCTGCACTCCAGAACACGATACCATTCTATGCGGCATGCTCGCCCGACGCGGACCGGTGCGGCGCAGTGCGTGCTTCGCGTTCGCTCGGCCAGTGCTATGTGTGTTTGGTGCATTCCTTTCCAGTGCCTTTCCGAAACAACCTTGTAGCCGCAGGAACTACCGTGGGGCAGATTCGCGCCTTCTCGGTGTATGATTTAGATGGACCACCACCTATCAACAGGGCTAAACCCAAGCTAAACCTGCCGCCCGTCGGTTGGATAAATTCCAGAAGCGATACTTGGATCAACACAGTCTAAGCTTTCTCAGACAGTGAGTGCCACGGGAATATCAACCTCTGAACCCGATGAAGGAACCCGTGAGTGAAGTACATTTCAGCTCACACATACATACCCGTTGCCTCCGGCCAAAAATTGCGACAGGTTCGGCTTTCTCCGATGTGGATAAACTTTCAGAGACGCTTTTGGGATTACCCGCAATGCTGTACGCATGCTGTTAAAAAGTAGGCGCTAAACCTTGGCTAAACTTGGTACGCATCGCTTTGGTGATACTTAAATTAGCCCAGCATCTCACGCTCTCCAGCTTTGCTCCTTGGACACGACCACCATGAGTGCCACAGAGAAAAGCACCCTTCAATCTCAAGGACTACCTGGTCAGTGATATGTGCTTGATCCATTTCGTTCCACATACACTTGCTAAGATTCTTTCTCCCCATCATGAGGAATTCGCAGGCGCCAAGCTGTGGGCTGTGTACATCTCCGAAGCGGAGAACTACGACAAAGCCCTGGTCGAGAGCTGGAAGTCTGACATGGAGGGACTGCTAATCTTTGTGCGTGCCAATCAACTCATGCGTGGTTCTGAGCTCACCATATAGCCATGCGGGTTTTTTTCTCCGTGAGCTTGACCGCATTCCTCATCGAGAGCTACAAAACTTTGAGCCCAGATCAAGGAACGATCACCATCGCAGTGTTGACCCAAATTTCTCTTTAGCTCGAGGCCCGCTCCAATGCATCGTCCGCAGGTGTCTCGCTGTTGGAGGCATTCACCCCGATTTCCGCCTCCCTGGCCTGTAACACTCTGTGGTTCCTCAGTCTTTGGGCGAGCCTCTCTTGCGCCCTTGTAGCCACACTGGTGCAGCAGTGGGCCAGGGACTTCGTGCAGAGGACGGAGATGCGGCCCTCCCCCATAGTTCGGGCTCGCATCTTCTCCTATCTCTATTTCGGCCTCCGCCGATTCGGCATGCACAAAGTGGTCGAGTTCATCCCTCTCCTCCTTCACATGTCGCTCCTCTTCTTCTTCGCTGACCTCGTGGCCTTCCTTCACCCGGTCAACACAGCGCTTATGATCATGACGGCCGCATTGCTCGTCGTAATCTCCGGCGTATACACCTACGTGACGGTGCTCCCCATCTTCTCGTCCGACTCACCGTACCGAACGGCGCTTTCCAACGTCGTTTGGGGAGTGTTTAGACGCTTTCCCGTCCTGCTTCATTCACCCCGAAGATGCTCTTCGGACAAGGAATCCGGAATCCCCCACCAGGAATCTCCCGTCCCCACGAAAACTATACCTACTATGATTGAAATGATGACTCGTGACGCTGTCCAAAAATCAATCAAACGCGACGAACGAGATGCCCGGGCAATCGTCTGGACAGTCCAGTCTTTGACAGACGATAACAAACTTGAACCATTCGTGGAAGCTCTTCCGGATCTTATATGGGGACCCAGTGGAAGGCGAACAGGGCACGATGATATGATCAAGTTGCTACTCGACACACGCGACCTTCGACTGGTATCCAGAATTGAAGGGCTCCTGCGCAGCTGTGATACCGGTCTCCTTCCTCCAGACCGTGAGGCGCACCGCCGTATTCTCTGTATTAAGGCGTTGTGGGCGATTGGTTATTTCTCTGCATCGAATAACCTCTCGATACGAAATTCCTTCCCCGTGTTCGACCCGACAATTCTACGATCCCGGTTGGCGGATGCCGCTGTGGTGAAGTCACATTTGACATCTGCCTACACGCTTGTTCGTTGGAATGGGTTTTGTTCGCTATCAGCGCTCATCCGAGAAGTTATATACGTCCTGGAAAACGCATGCAATTCCACTCGTCTTCAAGATCCTCATGTCCTCCTCCAAACGGCTCGACGGGAAGCGGAACACCAAGGATATACCGACCTGAGCACTTCAGTCAACCCTTTTCCCAGACCCATAGGGCCTAACTGTTTCCAATAGTTAATGGGTCCTATGGGGGGCAGATTTGGCAGGAGTTCCCACATTTAGAGGGAAGGACCACAGCTTCCCATATTGCCAATTTGGGCTTCCCTCTTTTGATGTGGGATGACCCAGGGGATCACATCACAGGGGCCAAATAAATTGGGATGCTGCATGCATTTCTGCATGTAATGGGCTGCAAATAGGTGAATATGAAAGCCCTTACATGCCTTAGCCTGTGGGAGGTGCCATGTCCAATAATATCAACATTTATGCTGGCCCTATTAAATGCCCTCCCGGCTCTCATATGCTGGCATTAGTAGCATTGGTGCCCTGTGCAGGCTGTACATGGTCTGTAATAGCCTGCAGGGCATGGATGGGCTTGCAGCTTGGGGCAAAAGGGTAAGCATGGGATATTTGCTTGTAGCTTGGGAAATGGGTAGGGCATGGGCTATGTGATCTAGGCTCATACCTTGGGTACCAGGTTGCAGTAGAGATTAATATATAGCCCCCATACATGGGTTCACCATAGGCTATGCCATCCATCCAGGCTTGTACTTTAGGGTACAGGGGGTGTACCTCATCCAGGATCATACCTTTGGGACCAATGTGCAATATACACTGGGGATTCAGCATGGCTACACCATCTATCTGTGCCTGTACCTTGGGGTACATGTACCATACCTCATCCAGGCCATTCCCACTTCTGGCACTCCATCTGGTCCATCCCACTGCAAAAAAATTGCTCATGGGATGTCCCATTTCCCTCTGGGAATTCCCAGATTAAGGCTCACTTGGGGTGTCTCACATACGCTATGGGAACGACCACACCTACCATAAATGGCAGATATGGTCCTTCCCAGTGCTTACCATAAATGGCAGGTATGGTCGTTCCCAGTTGCTACCATAAATGGCAGATGTGGTCCATCCCAGCTGCTACCATCAAGAGCAGGTATGGTCTTTCCCACTTGGTACCATAAATGGCAGGGATGGTCCTTCCCAGTTAGTTCCTTTTTGAGACACCAACACTTTCTGCCTAAAAAGGAAATACTCTACATCAACCCTTCCCTTGTGCACAATGTACCATCTATAATAGCCTAATTACTGGGCCCACTACATATGGT